CGAGATTAAAGTACGTCGAGATTTGTAGGAGTATATACGGCGGGGAAACCGAACTTTACTTCGTTGGAGTATCATAGCACGACACACACACACACACACACACACACACACACACACACACATACACACACACACAAAATATATGTACAAATACATATTTGAGTACAAAATATGTATATTCAGCTAACAAGACAATACATTTACATAGTACATTGTAAAATAGCATATATAAGTAAAGATTATTATTAATAATTAAATTGTATATATTATTTATGAATTTTATATTTATATGGCTATACATATAATAATATATATAATTACATATAACTACAATTTAATATATGTAGCTATTATATTTAAAAACAAAATTTATACATAATGGATCAAATTTAATTATTAATAATAATTTTAATTTGTGCTATTTTACAATGTTCAATGCGATTGTTTTATACTCGTTAGCTGAATATACGTATTTTATACTCATAGCTAAATGTACGTTTAAACACCTCAAATTTACACAGCACGTATTTACTACTCAAAAATACTCATAACTGAATGTACGTTTAGATACCTCAAATTTACACAGCACGTATTTACTATTCAAAAATACTCAAATGATACGTTTCTACTACTCGAATATACTCGTATGCAACTCCGTTATAACCACCCATTATTACGCAAAAGTACCCCTTTCCGACCTAAAAACGGGATTCATATTCATTCAATGCCGCTTTTACTACTCAAATTAACAGTTTTCGCAGGCTAAAAACGGTGAAATATTTTTGTAAGGGAAATTAAATGGAACGCCCGAATATCGAATGCGCAAACAATCACGGGAAAATTTCTGGATTGTCCATCTTTATTGATCCCTTCGTATTTCTCTCAAGTCAATCTAAATTAAATATGTATAAAACAACTAAAATTAATAATAAAAATAATATGACAAACAAAATGATAATAATAATAACTATAATGATAACAATAATAAACACTACAATAATGACAATTTCAATAATTAGTAACAGTAACAAATAATAATGAAATATATGTACTTTCAAATTTTAACACTAAAATTTTTCATATTTTTGATAGTTTTGGAAGCATACATCAAAACAAATTTTACAACAATATTTAGCACTAAATTGAACAAGAATATCGGATGCGGTTCCATTACAAATAGAACATACAAAGTTAAAATATTAGTCAATTTTAATGACGAAGAATTTACAAGATTAAATACTAATAAAGAAGATAAGGTAGAAGTTATTGGAAAAATGCAAAATTCAGATAATATAATAACAATAATAAGAAATAATAAAAATAACGATAATAATAAGTAATAATATTTTTATCATCAATAATAAATAATAAAAAATATAATATGTAATGTATATTTGAACTTTTACACAAATATATATAATACTTTTAAACACATTTTTTGTATGTAAATATAAAAAATTTTCACAATATTTTGTGATTTCAAAATTTAAAAAAATTTAAATTAAAATTAAAATAATTTTTATAAACAAAAATAATTTTATTATTTCTATTTATTGAAATATTTGAAAACTTTCTCATGTTTTTTATATTTAAAAAAAATATAAAATCTAATAAACCCATTTCACAGCTGTTCCACCATATCTAGTGGTCAATGACATAAAAGATATGTAGGGATTACAGTCTACAACGATCTTAAATGATAACACAAGAATGTATTTGGCAAACTTGAGATACAAGAACATAAACTACTGCTTTTGACGGACGATCGTTTTCACGTGGTTTCGCGTTCCGCAGTCTCTTTTCTTCTGGGCGCTTCTCATGCCCTCGTGCGCCACGGCATAGATAACTTAAGAACTAAAACAAATAACAGGGCGCTGAAGACGCTTACTTTCGCTTATGTATTAAGCCGCGCTTTTCAAACGGAATCAATAGTAACAAAAATAAGGGTATGCTAAACGTAAAACTCCTACAGATATAAAGCATAAAAATGGAAAAATGTCATTGATATAACTTATTAAAGGTACAGAACCACCTAAAAAGAGAAAGGCAGAAGAAGAACAGGTACATAGAGCTGTTATTCTAAATACAACACACATACAACTTTAAATATATGTATATAGAGTTGCAACTCTAAATACGTAGACAGATATAACGATTTTAAGATTTAAAAAAATTTCAATAAAAAATAATTAAATACTAACTTTTAAAAGAAATATTAACTCTACTATACTGATCAAGCGACGCGGTAGCGGCGCGACGCCAAGTACCTAAAAAAGAGTGATAACCGCGTGACTGTATGATCTGCGTGTTACTTCATTGCGCAAATGTCGTGACGCTACCATAGCTTTATCTGGAATTCTTATGTCAAACATACTTTTAATTCAAATATCTCAGAAATTATAACAGCAATACAAAATCTAATGACATTTTCTGATATAATGTCGATACGAACTTTCGAATGCGACCATTGCGAATAAAATTGGTGCAGTCAATATTGAGATCTTGAGATCGAGTTCATGAAAAGTGTAAACTTGATGAAAACTTTATTCAAAATGACATTTTCAGTCACACGTATACACATATACACGTAAAGCGGTTTATCCCTCAAGGCGAATTTTCACAAAATCTTGTCAAAATTCGTAATCAATTTCAATATACATATATATCAATCGTTGTTGTTCAGCTGCAAGAGCAGTACCATAAAATTTATAATTACGGTTAATTAAGATTTATTAAAAATTAGCTAAAAGAGCAATAAATAATTATAAAAATAATCGCTCGATATTATTAAAAATAATTAATTATTCACATAATTACACCGGCACACAAAAAAAAAAG